TTCTCAGACATTTCCCTGTGTCTCATTTCGAATGTCAGTCCACCATAAATGGTGACCCCGACGTGATAGCTTGGAAGGCTATACGTTTCCCGCATCCTATACTCATCGTCGCAGACGTCGACTGGGCCCTCATCTTCTTCGCTGGACGAAGATAGATTCTTTTCGTGAGTATGGGGGGAGATCTCTCGAAGGCTCAGAAAGAGCACATCAGGGAATTGAGAGGGATCATTGGGAATAGTTTTGGGTTTGGAATTGGCAGTAGGGGTTGTGCTGTAGGAAAGAAAGAAATTGAGGACTTACTACAGTATGTTTGGAAAAATATTAAGTCATATCCGGAGGGAGGTAGTATTAAAGTAGAGTCCTGGAAAAAGATAGGGAAATTTTTGCACGAGGAACCTCGTGCCCCTTCTTCAATTTTGTTAACCTGGAGGGTGATTATGGATGCGTTAGCTACTTATGAACAACCGCTCCTAGCACCCCCCGAAGAAGGTTTGCCGCTTTACCATGCGGTACGTTTGTTGCCGCCGACGGCACCTCCAGATAAATCTGGGGGACTGTCCGGCGCTAGAAATACTTTGTCAGAGGATAAGAGTTTACCTTTAAGGGTTCAGGTGGATGCAGTTACTGCAGCTATTCAAGAAGCAAAGAATAGAGGGGAACTATCAGGAGATGATTTGGTGGAGTTTGGAGTAGAAGTTCAACTTAATCCAGTAGAAATTGTCATGGACGCTGCGTTGAATCCGCAGCGGGAGTGGAATCCTTTACCTCTTAGGATTTTGAGGGAAGTTAAGCAAGCAGCAAAAGAATATGGTGTTAGATCGCCATATACTCAGGCATTGTTAGAAGCAGTTGGTTATGGAAATAAAATGATTCCGGCTGACTGGAAAGCTCTGTTGAATATGATTTTAACTCCAGCTCAATATTTGGTGTTAGATCAGAAATGGAGACAGCTGGCAGTCCAGAGGGGAACAGCAACTGTTACCCCAGATCAGCTTTACGGAGCTGGTAATTTTACAACAGTGGAACAACAGAGAGATGGTATGCCTGATGAGGGGTTCGTTCTTCTCCCACAATTAATTTTTCAAGCCATAGGGGCTCTCCCTGACGGCGAAGGTGGTGAGAAGACCTTTACTAACATCAAACAAGGGAACAATGAACCCTATGAAAATTTCATTAGCAGACTGAAATTGGCTATTGAAAGACAAATTGATAATCAATTCGCCCAGAAAGAGTTGCTTTTTAAGTTAGCAGTAGAACAAGCTAACACAGATTGCAGAAAGATTTTAAATCCACTTGTAGCAAGTGGAGAGCGAGAAATCGCGGATTTGATTAATGCATGTAGGAAGGTAGGGAGTCAGTCTTTTAACATGGAGACTTTAGCTCTGGCTTTACAAACAGGACATGCTCAAAAGGGGAATTGTTTCAATTGTGGGAAGCCTGGACATTTTAAAGCGCAATGTCGGGCTCCTGGAGGAGGTCAAAGTCAGCAGAATAAGAGATCAATGGGACAGGGTGTTCGTCCTAAATCAGTGTGCCCAAAATGTAAGAAATGATACCATTGGGCAAATCAATGCAGACTTCATTCTGAGGGAAAAAACTAGGAAGCAGGGATCAGGGCATTCTCCCTACTCTAAAGAGTGAAGTAATGTCCGAAGGGTTGGAGCCACCAGAGAGAGGTAGGGATAAGATGTGGTCGCCAGCTACTAAAGGTTCAGCAGGAATTGATCTTCCATTAGCCGAGGATTTGGAATTGGGGTTTCCACATGTAGTTTGTTTGGGGTCAACGGATTTCTATGGACCGTTGCCTCCGGCTTCTGTGGGTCTTCTTCTTCCTAGATCATCGGCTCATAGGCGTCAATTGTTTGTGGTTCCTGGGGTTATTGATTCGGATTATGAGGGTCAGATCAAAATTCAGGTTCACTCACCTGTCCCTCAATCTTTGAAAAAAGGGGATTGTTTTGCACAGCTTATAGTTTTGCCATCTATGTCTTTGGGAGAGTCAGATGGAATTCGTCAGGGTGGATTTGGATCTACGGATAGGGTTAAGGAGTCTAGTGTGTTTTCTATTATGCAAGGTATTAGGCAAAATGACAAACCAAAATTAACTCTTTTGGTTGAAGGCAGAAAGTTTACTGGAGTGCTGGACACTGGAGCAGATGTCTCTGTGATCAGCGAAAGTGAGTGGCCTAGGGAGTGGCCGACAGATCCTACACCGTCTGTTCGAGGAGTCGGAGGACTTCAAGACGCACGGGTTAGTAGGAAGATTCTTAGAGTTAAAACACAGCAGGGAGGGGCTGTTGCATTTGTCCAACCGATTGTTCTGTGCCTTCACGTTAACTTGTGGGGCAGAGATTTGATGCAACAGTTTGATACAAGGGTTGTCATTCATGATGACTGAACACCCACCTGTGGAGTTATTAAAATTACAACTACTCCAACAGGAGCCAGTGTGGATAGACCAATGGCCTTTGACTAATGAGAAATTAGTTCATTTACATGAATTGGTTCAACAACAATTAGAAAAAGGACATATAGTGCCTACCACTAGTCCTTATAATTCTCCAGTTTTTGTTATCAAAAAGAAATCTGGAAAATACAGATTTTTACATGATCTGAGGAGCATAAATTCTATATTAAAGCCAATGGGTCCACTTCAGTGTGGAACGCCTAATCCTAATTTAATACCTGATGGATGGAATATAAGAGTGTTAGATTTGCAAGATGCTTTTTTCTCCATTCCTTTGCACCCTGAAGATGTAGATTTGTTTGCTTTTACTATTTTGAGTATAAATCAGGGGCAGCCCGCTAAGCGATACGCATGGACTGTCCTTCCGCAGGGAATGTTAAATAGTCCTACAATGTGTCAAATGTTTGTGGATTGGGCTTTACAACCTTTTCGGAGTAAATTCCCGGATTGGAAGGTTTATCATTATATGGATGATATTTTGATAGCTGCTAATATTTCTGATGATGCCATGAATTCTGCTGTCATTCTTTTAACTGCTATACTAAAGGAGAAAGGCCTAATAGTTAGTCCTGAAAAATTGCAAAAAGAATATCCTTTTGCCTATTTAGGTCATAAATTATTCCTGAGTCACATTACACCCCTGAAATTGGAATTTGTTCTTCCTAATCCTTTAACCTTAGTGGGTTTACAACAATTTTTGGGTCATATAAATTGGATCAGGCCGTATTTGGGTTTAACTACCCTTCAATTAAGTCCTTTGTTTCAAGCTTTGGCTAGTGCTAAACAAGCATCTGACATAATAACCTTAAATGAAGAACAAAAAGGGATTTTGTCATTGATTGAACAAGTTTTAAGCCATAGATGGACAGATAGATGTTTGCTAGATTGTCCATTATCAGTGATTTTAATTTCAGAACGAAGGGCTACTGCATTGATAGTTCAGGTAAAAGAAAAAACTGCTTTAAGGATTTTGGAATGGATTCATTTGTCTCATACACCATCGAAATCCATAAATTGTATCACAGAACAGCTTGCTGATATTTTTAATCGTGCTCGTCAGCGCTGCAAGGCTATTGCTGGTATGGAACCAGTAACATGTTATGTTCCTTTTGCTTTAGCTACCTGGGAACAGATGATTTGCAATAGTGAGTTTTTGCAGGTTTTGGTACATTCCTGGCCAGGGAAGTTTTCTTGTCATCCTCCAGCCGATCCTAGGCTATCTTTGTATAAATCAGTCAGAATTAATTTAGCAAGTCTTTTTGTAACTCAGCCTATATCAGATGCTCCTACAGTTTTTACTGATGGAGGGAAAGTTTTTGGTGCTTGTGTTTGGAAAGATAAATCTGGAATTTGGCATACAAAAGTGACTTCAGAGCAGAAGTCTGCCCAGCAGGCAGAACTTGCTGCTGTAGTTTTGGCTTTTCAAAATTTTCACAATCAGGATTTTAATTTAATAGTGGATTCATTGTATGTGTATAATTTGTTACCCTTTGTAGCAGGTTCTTATTTGTCTCCTGGAATATCACCTGATATTTTAAGATTGCTTTTGCTGTTACAAGGATGTTTGGAGCAGCGTGTGAATGTGTGTTTTGTTGCTCACATTCGTAGTCATAGTAATTTGCCTGGAATTTTATCACAAGGTAATGCCAAAGCTGACAGTGCTGTAACTTCAGTCCTCACTGTCCAGCCATGGGACAGTCATAGTTATTTTCATCAAAACGCTAAAGCATTGGCACAGCAATTCAAACTTACTACTGCAGAAGCTGCTGCCATAATTCAACAATGTCCAACTTGTTCAAAGCAGGGCACGACTATTCCTATGGGAGTTAACCCCAGAGGGTTGAAACCCTCAATGATTTGGCAAATGGATGTTACTCAATATCCGTCATTTGCACCCTGGAAATATATACATGTGACTGTGGATACTTACTCAGGATTTTTAATGGCTACCCCTCAAAGAGGTGAGATGGTTAAACATGTCATCAATCATTGTATTAAGACTTTTTCAGTTGCTGGTACACCTAAAACTTTAAAAACTGATAATGGTGCGGCTTATCGGAGCACCGGTTTTGATCAGTTTTGCAAACAATGGTCCGTGGAACATAAATTTGGGATTCCATACAATTCTACTGGGCAAGCTATTGTAGAACGTCATAATGCCACGCTCAAGACCATGTTGACTAAATTAAATAAAAAAGGAGGGAAGCTCCTGGGGCTTCCGGCGATTCAAGATCAATTAAATCTAGCTTTATATACTTTAAATTTTTTAAATTTGTCTGGTAACCCCCCTGCGAGCGCGGCCAGCAGGCATTTTTCTTCTCCTTCTACAGATGCGGTGAGACCTCGGGTGTTGGTGCGGTTCCTTCCGGATCCGGCATGGGTTCCTGCTGAGCTGATAACGTGGGGACGTGGTTATGCAGCAGTTGAACATCTTGGTCAAATTCGTTGGGTTCCTGGTCGGTGTGTTCGACCGGATCATTCGCAGGCACCCGTGAAGGAAGTTTCGGAGGAGCAAGATGGTGTACCTGTGGTTCCTGATTCTCTTGATGCCGATGGCTCGGACGCGGCGCTGTGAAGACTGGGAAAAGATGACTGCTTACCTGAGATTACCAACTTGTATGCAGCAGGTTTCTTTGGGGAACCGGACTAAATTAATCTGCAAACAGCGGTATCCTTTGGTTTTTCCAGCATATTGGTCCTGGCATAAGGATCAAGACATTCTTTACTCGGGACCTGATAAGGATATTATATCTTCAGCCTGTGCAACAACTCTGATCCTGTTTAATGTTTCTGTTTCAGACTATGGACAATATCAGTGTCAATTGGAGTTGCCTAAGTTACATTATACAGACTCTCTTTCCATTCGTCTTATGCCTCCACGAACTTCGATACGGAGGCAAAGAGATGTTATTATCTCAAAAACTAGAGACCTTGGTGATAA